ACACACCCCATCCCACACATGCACACACACACACCACACACACCACACACACACACCCCATCCCACACATGCACACACACACACCCACACACACACACTGAGAAATACTGTAGTTGGTCAAATCAATAATCCATGTATCCAAGTTTTCTGCAGTAGAAGAAGTACCAAGAGATTTTGAAATGTAAAAGAATATGGTTGCTTAAGATGACATCAGTATCAATCTTTTGAGATTAACTACAGTTACTTATTTAAAAATGCTTGGATGGATAGTACGATTTGTAGGAAATACAGGAAAATAAAACAGATGTGGTCCTGAACTCCGGGAATCTATAATCTAGCTGAGGTCATAGAATGAACATCATGATGTGAACATCCATGATATCCAAAATGCATGGAGATCATATCCGTGATATCCATCATATCCATGATATCCAAGCATTTTGAGACAAGTGTGTCATTAAGCGGTGACCTGTGTGTACTGGACTCTTAGTCCTGTGACCACTTAGAACAAGGATCTGGAAGAAGGGTAGGGCGTGGCCAGGCCAAGTGGGCAGCATGGATATTAGGGGTTCATCAGACTCACTCCTTCATGAGGAAGTTATATCATGGATTTGTGCAAATTTTACATGACTCTTTTACAAAAATACAACATTTCTCTCTCTTAGACCATCAGGTTTGCAAATGAAGTGTTTAATTTGACCTATTTTGCTCCTTTCTAAATTTCAAGGGGCATTTCTTCATTTTGTTATGTTTGAATAGAGATTGTTGGATGAATGAATGGCTCACCCCACTCATATATTTCAAGATGTTTTTAGACTTGAGATGTCTTGTCATGCTCTTAATGAGTGTGGCTGGAATAAACAGCGTTACACAAACAACCTATTGAGGAAGGGTGTAAACTGGGACTTTGGGCAGTGAGACTTCCAGATGGGCTTTGTCTGTGGTGTTCTCTCTTGCCTGAGCTCTGGGGTTGGGGTGGAGAAGAAGGGAGGATGCTCTAAATTTTAGCTTAGGATGTGGAGCTTTATGAAGGTGAGGCAGTTGGGCATCAAGAAGGAAAGGGGAGATTCTGGAGACATGAGCAGGGAAGGAATGCTGTCAGTGCTGGGACTCATGGAGGACATCGATGGAGCTGTAGAGACACAAAGGAAAATTGTTGAGATAATCCTGGTAAAAATGTGATGAGTGCCTATAATAGAGACAGTGGAATTATGGGAAAGAAACCTGGAGCTCAATGCAGTAAACGCCATGAACAGGAACTTGACACAGCTTGGTAACTGATTTTGGGGGTGAGGGAGCCGAGGAGTCTGGAACAGGGAAGCCACAGTGTCATGCGCTGCAGAGAAGAGGAAGAGGATGAAGCTGAGCAAGCGAGGCAGGATTTGGTCATTCCAAGGTCAGTAGTGAATTTTGAGACAGTCATTTTGGTAAAAGGCTGAGAAGGAAGCAAACAGGTGGTAAGAATGTGGGCGCAGGAGTTTTCTGCTACTTTTCAAAGAAGTTGAAAAAAAAAAAAAGGGAGCTGTAAGATCCAAAGAATTTCCTCCCCTACCTTGCGCTGTTCAGTAACCACTTCCTCACTCTAAAGCCTAACTTGTGGTCTTGAGAGATTTTCCTGTCTACAAAGTAACCTCAACATTATGTCTGGAAAGAATCCTCTCTGAAGGAAGCAGGACACGTCCCTGAGGAGACTGTCAATGCAGAGCCAACACTTGATCCCAACTTCTGTGGTTTTTCTTCTGTCAAGGAAATACGGGTGTGTGAGTCCAGGATTCACTTCACTGATGTCTAGAAGGATCAATTGTTGCCAAATTTGGAGACAATGGTTTGTGCTTAATCGTAAAGATCCACTCCTCTGTAGCGCATGGTACTGTTGCTTCCCTGTTCCGGACTCCTCTGCTCCCTAATCCTTGACATCAGTTACTAACTTCTTTCAAGTTTACATTCAACAGGAGAATGAAGTGGATTTGTGGCCAGAGAGGAACGAGGCATAGGGAGGGAAAATGCTGAGGAAGAAAGAGCACACGCCATCAATGGGGTGAGGTCTTGGGGACGATGGTTGGGGTTGGGATTTGAGCTGTGGCCAGGAGGAAAAGTCCTTGTCCCTCAAAGTCTACCCTTGCTGGACTGGTAAGTAGGTGGGCTCGTCCCTTTCCTCTTGAGCATCCTCTTGCCTGTTCTGTAAATTGGGAGTAATAATGCCTGCTAGCAAAACCATAGTTAAAATGAAATACAAGTGCGTATGCAATGTGCTTAGCTCAGCGTCTGAATAGCAGGCACATAGCGAGTGATGAGAAGTAGGATGAAGACAACAATGGTGACAATCTTGTAGCAGGCCTAGCAGCATGCCTAGGACACTGAGTGTACTCAAACCATGCATGGATTCCCATGGAACCAGACAGTGGGGACCCTGGGGGGCACAGAGAGCAGCTCGGACAGGATGTTATCCCATGTCATACTTGCCATCCTTTTACACGTAGCGTTAACACAGAGTTTTAGCATCCTGGGTTCTGGCCTCCTTTCAAGGAGCAAGGACTGGAGTTTATGAAATCAGGGCCTGGCCCTTGAGGAGAAAACATGGCCACAACTGAGGGTGAGTGCAGGTGCACCCTGATGTGTGGTGTCCATGAATGGAAGAAGAGCTGGGAGCCTTCTTGAATGTGGTCTGAATAAAATTAAAATTTAAGTGGACTGGGCTGAGAGAAGAAGAGCAAGACAAAGGGGCCGCAATGCAAAGGACCCTCTGGAAGTAAGGTCAGGTGGAGTCACCCTATTACAGGGCACCTGGGGCTTGATCCAGAGAGGCGGGGACTATTCCAGGTGCTCAATCTGGAATGCCCCCGCATTGAGGGAGTGAGGGAGTGCCCCCACCCTCACTGCCACTATCATTGCCCAACTTTTGCCATCTGTGGTTGGCATCAGTGCTCAGAGATGCTGAAACTTGCATCGGGGTAAAAGGTTTGCAGAATGACTCTTGCTTCAGGACCAGTTACATATAACAGAAATGAAGGGAAAGGAAGGGGAGGGGAGGGGAGGGGGAGGGGGAAAGAGGAGGGAGAGGGGACAGGGATGGGGGAAGGGACGGGGAGGGGGGAGGGGAGGGGGGAGGGGAGGGACAGGGGACAGGGAGGGGATGGGGAGCAGGGAGGGAAGGGAAGAGGAGAAGGGGAGGGGGAGGAAGGAGGGGAGGGGGAAGGGATGGAAGGAAAAGGAAGAGAAAGAAAATAAAAAAAGAAAAGAAAAAGAAGAGGGAGGGAGGAAGGGGCCCAATTAGTAGAGAAACATTTCACCAGCACCTGGGCCATGTGTGGTCATTCCTGCAGATTCTTACTGTCATTGGGAATGGGGGCTTTCCTCAGTCCCCAACAGGCATGTGTGAGGAAAGTGACCTGCAGCCTGCTTGGCTGCCCTCCATGAGCACCCACTCTACGTGTTTGAAAATATGGTGGCCCTCGTCCTCTGAGGCGGTAATGCGCGTGGTGCCTCGTGGATTGCTGTATTTTCTGAAAATGCTGAAACTTTTCCTTGGAGAAAATTCCCATGTCTTTCATGTGTCATTGTTAGTCCATTTCTAATAAAAAAGGAGCCTTTGCTTGGGTCAAATCCTGCATTCTACCACGAAGGCTCCTTTGCCTTTCTCCTTTCCTTTGAATGTGCGTGTCATGCTTGGAAAATTTCCTCTTCATATTTCTGCTAAAAAAAAAAAATCCAAAACACCTTAATTGCATGGTGGAGAAAGTGTTTTTCAGGAACACTCTTGTTTCCTGCCTACTTCTAGGAGTGAAAACCAGGGATAATTTACACCCTTCTCTCAGATTAATATTTACCTCCTTGAATTTTGGCCAGAAGTGCAAATGTCAATCTCTCTCTGACTATTACATAGTTTGAAGTCAATCAGGAACAAGGTAGCAAAAAACTGTTGCAGGAACCCAGGTTTCCCCCCAAGAAATGATGAGTGACTAAGATAGCACCGGTACAAAAATGTCACAGCTCTTGGAGTTGGAAGGTGGCCTTTTGAAGAACCATGTTGCCTGGTCCTGGCCCGAGGCATGTCAGATAATTTCCACCACTGGCCAAGTTCATAGCCATCCTTTCCAATCCACCTCAGAGTTTGTGTCTTATGTTACCATGTTACCCTTTTCAGGTTTCCCCAGCAGTTCCTTTCTCCATCTCCTGTGTCCTGACAGCTCCTTACTTATATCTCTGAAAGCATTTATCCTATGGAATTGGCTGCCAGCTTCTCTGTCTCCAAGAGGACAAGGGTTGGCATTTATCAATGTGTTTCTCATTCCCACTATAAAGAGTTAATCTGGCACAGTCATATATTAGTATAGTAAACATGCTTTATGCTTATATACTGTTGGTGGGAATGTAAATTAGTTCCACCTCTATGGAAAACAGTATGGGGATTTCTCAAAGAACCAAAAATAGAACTACCATTCAACCCAGAAATCCCACTACTGGGTATCTACCCAAAGGAAAATAAAGCATTATATTTAAAAAGGCACCTGCGTTTGTGTATTTATTGCAGCTCTAAGCACAAAGCAAAGTCATCAAACTAACCTAAGTGTCCACCAATGATGGACTAGAAGAAAATGTGAGGTATACACACCATGGAATACTATGCATCCGTAAAAAAGAATGAAATCATGGCCTTTGCAGCTACATGTTTGGAGCTGGAGGCCACTATCCTATCAGAAGCCTATCAAATATTGCATGGTCTCATCTGTAAGAGGCAGAGAAAAAATGGATAAATGTGGACATAAATGGAGATAATAGACACTGGGAACTCCAAAAGCGGGGAGGATGGGAGAGGAGTGAGTGTGGAAAAATTACCTATTGGGTACAGTGTTCAACATTTGGGTGACGGGTACACTGGAAGCCCAGTCCTCCTCATTTCACGAGCAGTTCCCATCTAACAAACAAGCACATGTACCCCCGGAATCGAAAATAAAAAATTGAAAGAAAGAAATTATCTGACCTACTCTGATTCACTGTAGGTGGTAAGACTGTAATTCCAGAGAGGATCCTGCCACATATGCAGAAGGAAGGAACGCCGCTCGGAGAGGCCAAGAAGAATCCGGACAGACGGGCCCTGCGGAGTCCCCTCTCGGCCTATCAGCATTAGATCACATCCTCCTTGTCCAAACGTGTCTCCACACAGCTGTCCGCCCTGTGTTGAACCTAAGCATAAACACTTGCAGCTTCTCTTGTGTTTTTGGTTCTTCATTCTGAAGGCTCCTATGTCTCATCAAACTATGATCAAATACATCTGTACGCTTTTTCTCCTAAAAGAATAAAAACAAAAACATGTTTTAGTCCTCACTTTATTACCAGATTACACAATTGAATTCTAGCAGTTTAAAACTCCTATCTTCAGGAGTAAGTGGTGAAGTTAGATGTGTACGTTCAGCAGTAATGCAGTTATCCTAAAGCAGATATTTTTCACTTTCATACAGAAGTTTAATTGGCCCATTAGGAATTCCTAGAATTATTCTTTCATATTGCCTTCAAAATCTTCATTAAACACTGGCTAATCAGAGAACTAACGGATATTTACTGCCATCAAGCCAAGGTCCAGCCAAGAAGGTTGCAGTTATGGTGCCCCCATTTCTGGTGGATACCTGGGTCCCCATCACTCATGAGCCAGGTATGGCCCTCAACCTTCTGCCGTGATGGTTGAGGGTTGAGGGCTGTACCTGGCTCATGAGTCCAGGAAGGGAGTGAACATTCTGCTGCTGCCTAAAGTGTAGTAACTTCCAGCAGCCAACATGCCCTCCTTTGGTTCTGCCATCTACCCAGGCCAGAGGATGTAGACCCCAGAGTGGGAATTGGCCTTGGGAGATTTGTGCAAACATCAGTGGGGTCTCCTGACCCAGAGCTTCTGGGGATGCAGACATGCCCAGACCATCTGCAGCATCTGGAGACAGAGTCCAAAACATCCTGCTCACACTGACCCACTAAAACTAGCCACAAATAGCCCACTCTTAGATATGAGTTCCAAATCAGAGCATTTTAATGGAAAGTTTAATGGATAGTTTAGGTGATGGTGTCATTCATTGTGCTTGAAGTCCCAAGGCGAATTTCATTTCCTACTCATTTCTGTAGAGTCCTTTGAAATGGCCCAGCTTGCCCTGGTGAATTTTTTTTTTTTTATCACTCCTGGGCCCCAGCATAGTGGAGAGGGCAGGGTTGGTGGCACCCGTGCAGCCCATCACCACCCAATCTTATTCTCAGTTCCTTTGACAGTTGGGGCTTCTACAGTTCCTCAGAAGTGATGGAGGATTGTTCTACCTCGACCTATGCCTTCTCCTTTACTGGACACTCTCAATGTTGAGAATCATACCCAATTTGCAGGGTCCTCTTGGGTTCACAGCAAATGCCAGAGTATGCTCTTTCTCCCACTTTCACCCAGTCTGAACATCCAACCCTTTGGCCATGCATTCAGTCATAAACTCACCCTTAACCTAAAATACCCTGACACTGAGTCTTCTCACCCTGCACATTCCTGGCCAGCCTCCTGGTGACTCAATGCCGCATGTCTGTCATTAGCTGTCCGTCTCAGCCACTGCTGTCCTCCTTGAATTGCAAGTATCTAGAGGACAGGGGCTGAATCCCTGCAGTGCTGTCTGCAATTCTCAGACCTGCCTTCATCACCTCTGGTAACTAACCTGACCTCTGGTTTGGGCTGCCTGTCTTTTTCGTGCTGATGAAAATGCATGCAAAGCACACCTAGCAAGGGGTGCAGACCTGTAAGTGGCCTTACTTTCCAGATTGTTTATGTGCCTTCTCAGCACCTAGCATTTCATTATTTCACCTCCACCTTGTTCCAGATGGGTTTAAGGCATCATCTTGGAACATGAATCGCCACAATAATGAGTGAGGACAAACTTTCATAGCTTTTGCAGAGCAGAGTGACTGGTCTATGACAAGCCTTTTTGCAATTGTGCATTTTCATCTACATTCATCTTTCAGCTCAATCATCATTTTCCTTTTTTTTTTTTTTCAAGTCTCATGAGTCTCCAGATCATAGCAACTGCAACCATTTTTCTGTGGAAAGGGCTCTGCGAAGTTCCTAAGCATGGTCTTCTTTAAGCCTCGACATGACCCTGTGATACAGGTAGTGGATTCTGTTACATCCGTTGCAAAGATGAGAAGCTGAGAATTAGAGAGATTACAGAGGTCACAGAGAGCAAGTGGAGGGGAGCAGGACTCTTTCTGCTGCATCTTTTGGCCCATCGCATCCTGCGCTGTCCAGGTGAGAGCACTCCACAGGTGAGGGGCATTTGAATGGAGGTGGCAGGGTTACCCTGCAGAGGTCAGAAAAGCTGAAAACCATCTCAGTCAGAAGTTCCAGGACTTGATGGAGTCAGGGAGCCAGAACAAATGCTCAGTCATCTCTAGGAGGAACGATGAGCTGGAATGCCAGTGAGGTCTGAGAGATGGTCTTCGGGGGAAGTTGCCTAGTCTTTGTATGGGACCTCCAGCTTTCACACAGCCTCAGGGAAGGATCTTATAAAAACTGCAAGCTAAGCACAGGCTTAGAAAGACATGTGGGCACTGGTAGTTGAGTGAGGAGAAATTCTCCACTTTGCTTCTCTGGGACTTGTTTTGAATGAGTAAATGGAAATTTGGCAATTTTAAGGCTAGTTTTCTAGGCTTCGTTAATATTTCTCATAAGTCAAATTCTCTGCCATGGTTATTGGGTTTAAGTGAAATTCTAAATTTCTTTTTTTCTTTCTTTCTTTTTTTTTTTTTTTTGAGTTGGAGTTCACTCTTGTTTCCCAGGCTGGAGTACAGTGGCACTATCTCGGTTCACTGCAACCTCCGCCTTTCAGGTTCAAGTGATTCTCCTGCCTCAGCCTCCCAAGTAGCTGGGATTGCAGGCCTGCCCCACTGCACCCAGCTAGTTTTTGTATTTTTAGTAGAGACGGGGTTTCATCATGTTGGCCAGGCTGGTCTTGAACTCCTGACCTCAGGCGATCCACCCACCTCGGTCCCCCAAAGTGCTGGGATTATAGGTGTGAACCACTGTGCCCAGCTGAAATTCTAAAATTCTAATGCCCACTGCTTTTCAAAGACCCGGATTAAATGGGACTCTTAAAAGAAATGGCTTTTTGTTGAGTATGCCCCCTGGAGAACCCGGGTTTCTGCAGTTTCCTTTTATCCTGTGAGAAAGATGCTAGTGATTCTTTACTTGTGAACAGGCGTGATGGAATCGCCTGTTTTAGTTACTGTAACAATGCTGTGTAGCAATTGTATTATTTGGAAATAATATACCATATAGAGTAACAATAATGTAATATCAAAGGACTCCTGTCTTGGTTTTAGATAACGGGAAAGCAGATTTTGTTTTCTTCTCTTAGTGGATGGTTTAAAGTGCCATCAGCGAATCAGTGGTTAGTTGATCATTGCGGACTTTTGGGTCCACTTACTGATAATTACATGAAGTCAATTATTTTTAAAACTTCTTGATTTTTAAATCATGGCCTCTCATTTAGCCTTCCTAACTTTTTATGTGCGGGGAGGGAAGGGGTAGGCCAGCCAATGTGATATTACTGTCACAATATTACTGCCATTGAATGACAGAACTTTCGGGGTCTCAAAGGTATGTCATCCAAAAGTTAAACTCGGCTTTTCATTTGATAAAACACGTATTTCTATCCTAGGTTACTTTGCCAATAAAAGTAGCAAATGCGGTGGATAACCCGCCAAGGTACTTACCAGGTTCCCTGACAAAGTCGCATTTCTGTGTTTTACAGAATTTCTACAGTGTACGATGCTGTGGCTTATTCAGAAATGTTGACGGGAAGATAAGAGAAAGGAGGAATGAACAAGAACAGGACTAGGTGCTTTTGTGGATGATAGCTTTCTATCCCCAGTGAAGATGGGTCCAGCCTCCTCCGGCCCTTTGTTTCCGATGTATTCATGTTGACTTCTATTCTCAGAGCCCGGCTGCCCCCTGCCAACTGTCTGTGACGGTGGAGGCCTGCCTTGGGAACACTCCGAAGCTTCCCAGTTCCTGTGTTTGTAATACCACAGTGCTCTGCCCGCAAAGCCCTGAATAGTGTCTTTGTAACAGCATGCAAGATATTTAAGATGTTAAGGGGCCACATTACCAAAGAATGCCTTTAAAAAGAGGAAAATTAAATGACCAATAAAGAAGGAATCCTCACAAGTTCCTATTGTATCTTATAAAAGGGAGCACTGATGTATTTAGGTCTAACTCCTCCAGGTCTTCAGGAAGTTGCCAAGCTCTCGCTCCACTCCTCCCCTTCAATGGGAGCCAAGGCTGAAATCTAAGTCCAAATTAATGAATCTGTTTCTAAGTTTGGGAAGGAGCAGCTAAACCACAGCTGTGAGTCTCGGGTCACTGGGGATTTCTATTTCAAATGCAGCCAGGATAGAATCTCTGAATTTATTTGATTTGGGAACAGGATAAGAAATTGATAATATCTGATTTGTAGATTAGCCCTGGAGGAGGAAATACTAATTTCAAATATCATTCATCTTCCTTTTTATCTAGTCTCTTCAAGCTGTAATGAAATTAACCGAGGACTGAGTCCAGCTTGTGGAAACCTCAGAGGAGTTTGCACATTGAACTGGCAAATTAATCTGTGAACAGCCCACAGTTCAGCATTTATTTAGTCAATATTCAGTGAATAATAAAGGTGGAAAGCACATTTTTTATTTGTCCATTTACTCATGGAAATATTTTCATTCAAGACTACACCTTGAGATTTATTTCTCATTTCAAAAATCATACATTTTCCACCTAATTGCAGTTTCTTTTTGCTCCGATGAAAACCTGAACTATTCAAGTAAATGTATTTACAAGTTAAACTTAGCAGACTTATTTGGAAGGAGAATTAGAGCAGGACTCAGGAGATAAGAAATATGTTTATTTCAATGGAGAAGTTTATCATGGAATGGTCCCAAAGAGTTATGTAATTAATGTAATATGAGATACAATAAACAGATATAAACTATTAAAATTCTGCATAAAACAGAATTTCAGAATCTGGAGATCATTAGGAAATTTCTGCCCTTTGAGTATATTATAAATGGGATGAAATTATTACATATCATGCCTCCCCACATTCCTGTGAGGCCAATGGGTATTACCAATACATTTATTCGATAAATGGTGAGAATGTATAGTGTCATTTATTGGATGGAATTTGGACCCAGTCAACTGGGCTAGAATTCTGGCTCTATCACTTATTATCTGTGTGAACTTGAGCAGACCACGTGAATTCTCTGAGCATCGGTGTCTTATCTGTGTAGTAGGGAAAATAATAAATCAATGATAG